TGTCCACCTAAGAAAACAGTAATAGTCTTATGCAATCTGCTGAGAAGGAAGAGAAGAGTAAATGGCAACGTTCAAGTCTTCAGGAGGTTATCTGAGCCAGAGAGAAATTCTTTGGGATTTGGAAATCCAGCACCAGCCAAGCCGATTAACAAGAGTATACACTACTGCAGCCAATATGTAAGAGGGAAAGGAGGAGGGCTAGGATGGATTTTGTACAGTAAATAGTTGAAGGTATAAAACACGAGAAATTCTCTAGAAAAAGCAGGAAGCCTGCGAAAGAATCAGTGGGTCCGCTGACTTACCAGGGGGGTAAACAGAGCAGTTAAAATTGAGAAGGACATTGTTGAAAAACTAAATGATTTCTTTCATCGGCCTGTATATTCATAGATTCCAAGGCCAGAAGGGACCAGTGTGATCATCTAGTCTGACCTCCCGTGTTACACAGGACACAAACATTCCCCAAAATAATTCCTAGAGCATATTTTTAGAAAAACATCAGCTCTTGCTTCAAAATTGTCAGTGATGGAGAATCCACAGTGACCCTTGCTAAATTGTTCCAGCAATTAATTACTCTTAACTGTTAAGAATTTATGCCTTATATCCAGTCTGAATTTGTCTAGCTTCAGCTTCCAGCAATTAGATCATGTCACACCTTTCTCTGCTAGACTGAAGGGCCCATTATTAATTATTTCTTCCCCATGTAGATACTTTTAGGTGTAATCAAATCACTTCTTAACCTTCTATTTGTTAAATTAAATTAAATAGATTGAACTTCTTGAGCCTCTCATTATAAGGCAGATTTTCTCATCCTTTTGTCATTTTCATGAATCATAGAATATCAGGGTTGGAAGGGACCTCAGGAGGTCATCTAGTCCAACCCCTGCTCAAAGCAGGACCAATTCCCAACTAAATCATCCCAGCCAGGGCTTTGTCAAGCCTGACCTTAAAAACCTCCAAGAAACAAGATTCCACCACCTCCCTAGGTAACCCATTCCAGTGCTTCACCACCCTCCTAGTGAAATAGTTTTTCCTAATATCCAACCTAAACCTCCCCCACTGCAACTTGAGACCATTGCTCCTTGTTCTGTCATCTGGTACCACTGAGAACAGTCTAGATCCATCCTCTTTGGAATCCCCCTTCAGGTAGTTGAAAGCAGCTATCAAATCCCCGCCCATTCTTCTCTTCTGCAGACTAAACAATCCCAGTTCCCTCAGCCTCTCCTCATAAGTTATGTGCTCCAGCCCCCTAATCATTTTTGTTGCCCTCCACTGGACTCTTTCCAATTTTTCCACATTCTTCTTGTAGTGTGGGGCCCAAAACTGGACACAATACTCCAGATGAGGCCTCACCAATGTCGAATAAAGGGGAACGATCACGTCCCTTGATCTGCTGGCAATGCCCCTACTTCTACAGCCCAAAATGCC